ACCCCTACCCGCCAGAGCTGGGGAAACCAGCCAATGGGGACTTCGGCTACCGCTCCGCAGGCTACCGGGAGGTGGTGATCCTGGAGGACCCGGGGCTGCCTCCCCTCTGCTCGTGCCCCGCCTGTGAGGAGAAGCTGGCGCTGCCCACGGCAGCCCTGTATGGGCTGCGGCTGGAGAGGGAGGCTGGAGACGGGTGGGTGGACGAGGCCAGCAAGCCCCTCCTGCACCCGGTGCGGCCCAGGCACCCTCTGCCCCTGCTGGTGCCTGCCTGTGGGCATCACCATGCCCCACTGCCTGACTACAGCTGCGTGAAGCCACCCAAGGCAGGCGAGGAGGGGCACGAGGGCTGCTCCTACGCCGTGTGCCCCGAAGGCAGGTACGGGCATCCAGGGTACCCTGCCCTGGTGACGTACGGCTACGGAGGAGCCATCCCCAGTTACTGCCCAGCATATGGCCGGGTGCCTCACAGCTGTGGGGCTCCAGGCGAGGGCAGACGGTATCCCAGCCCTGGTGCCCACTCTCCACGGGCTGGCTCCCTTTCCCCGGGCAGCCCGCCCTCCCCACAATCCAGGAAGCTGAGCTACGAGATCCCAGCAGAGGAGGGAGGGGACAGGTATCCGCTGCCCGGGCACCTGGCCCCAGCTAGACCCTTGCCATCTGCAGGTGAGGGGCACTGGGGTGGGGAGTGCCCAGGGCAGAGGAGGGTTCTGGAAGATGGTGGGGAAGGCACAGAGTGAGAAAGAGCTAAGCTTGGCTCACAGCACCCCCTCTCCCCTTCCCTGCAGAGTCGCCTGAGCCAGTGTCCTGGAGGGAGGGCCCCAGCGGGCACAGCACCCTGCCTCGGTCTCCCCGAGATGCCCAGTGCAGTGCCTCTTCTGAGTTGTCTAGTCCCTCCACACCCCTGCACACCAGCAGCCCAGTCCAGGGCAAGGAGAGGTATGCAGAGGGACCACAGCTGCTCAGGCACCTCCTTGTCCAAGCAGACACTGAAGGCTGGGCATGGGGACAGCTCACAACGGGGGCTCTGCGGCCCTGCTGACCATCTGCCCTCCCACCCCACAGCGCCCGGCGGCAGGACACCAGGTCCCCCACCTTGGCACCCACTCAGAGGCTGAGTCCTGGCAAGGCCTTGCCACCTGTTTCCCAGGGAGGCGCTGAAAAGCCTCCTGAGCTGCCAGCCAGAAGTGGGCTTGAGCCTCCGGCCCCTGGCCCCTTCTCCTCGACCTCCCCACCCAGCTCACCCAATGACTGGCCTCAGGAGAGAAGCCCAGCGAGCCGCTCAGACAGTGCCAGTCCAAGAAGCCCTGTACCCACCACGCTGCCAGGCCTCCGCCATGCCCCCTGGCAGGGCCTTCAAGACCCCCCAGACAGCCCGGATGGGTCCCCCCTCACCCCTGTGCCTACCCAGATGCCCTGGCTTGTGGCCAGCCCAGAGCCACCTCAGAGCTCACCCACACCTGCCTTCCCCCTGGCTGCATCCTATGATGTCAATGGCCCCACCCAGCCCCCACTTCCCGAGAAACGCCACCTGCCGGGGCCTGGGCAGCAGCCAGGACCCTGGGGCCCAGAGCAGGCATCACCACCAGCCAGAGGCGCCAGTCACCATGTCACCTTCGCACCTCTGCTTCCAGATAACGCCCCCCAACCCCCAGGTATAAAGGCCTTGGGGGGGGCACCTTGGGAGAACCCTTTCTCCAGGGAGGGGCATGGTGTGGGGACTGGGGAGCCCTGGGGCCAAGCTCAGTCCCTCCCTGTCCTAGAGCCCCCTGTGCAGGAGAGCCAGAGCAATGTCAAGTTTGTCCAGGATACATCCAAGTTCTGGTACAAGCCACACCTGTCCCGGGACCAAGGTGAGAAGCCAGCTGCCCCGCCCTCGGGGGCTTTAGAGTCAGCCCCACCTTCCAGTCGATGCCCTCAGTGCCCCCTCCATCTCAGCGGGTTTGCTCTGGGCTGAGCCTCTCACTAACAGGTGATTCTGGGCTTTGGGCCCACGGAGGTTTAGACTGAACACTGTCAATGCCCTGTTAATGGTCAAGTTCCGTCCCCAGATGCCCAACACCCCACAGCTGTTAGAGCGAGAGGCCTGGGGAGCGGGTGGCAGAGCAGCAGGGCCACATGGGGCTCAATCAGCCACGGTGACATCTTCTCCCGCCTCCCTCCAGCCATCTCCCTGCTGAAGGACAAGGACCCTGGGGCCTTCCTGATCAGGGACAGTCATTCATTCCAAGGAGCCTATGGACTGGCCCTCAAGGTGGCTACACCCCCACCCAGTGCCCAGCCCTGGAAAGGTACAGAATGCCCCAACCTGAGAGAGAAGGCGAGTGGAATGGGGGCCGGTACCAGAGGCCAGACCAGGAGGGTGGGCCATGCCGCTTCTTGGTGTGGAGAGGCAGGAGGTGACTCTCCTGCTCTGGAAAGAATCCCAGCAGGGGAGAAGGCAGGAACCTGGAACCTGGTAAAGCCTGCCTCTCCCCTCCTCGCAGGAGACCCCTTGGAGCAGTTGGTCCGCCATTTTCTCATTGAGACTGGGCCCAAAGGGGTGAAGATCAAGGGCTGTCCCAGTGAGCCCTACTTTGGTGAGCAGCAGGAGTCAGGGGGCTGCACTGGGTTGGTTTAGGGAGGCCGAGGGGTCTCAGGAGGTTGGAGGGAAAGCAGGGGATATCTGTGGGCCCCTCAGGACTCTCCTCACCTCTCCCTGCAGGCAGCCTGTCCGCCCTGGTCTCCCAGCACTCCATCTCCCCGCTGTCCCTGCCCTGCTGCCTGCGCATTCCCAGCAAAGGTGGGTGTCTTGTCATCTGTCCTTCCTGCTCTCCCTGCCACTGCAGCCAAAGGCAGAATCTGGGGGTCCTGGCTCCCAGCCCACCTCCCCTCAGGATAGGAGAGGGAGTTCTGCAGCTCCTAGACAATGCTGCTCCCTGCCGACCTTCCCTGTTGGCCCTCATTTCCCTCAGATCCTCTGGAGGAGACCCCAGAGGCCCCAGTGCCCGCCAACATGAGCACGGCGGCAGACCTCCTGCGTCAGGGCGCAGGTAGGGGCCTCTCCCTCCCTCCCTTCCTCCCTCTGGGCACCAGGGGGCGCATTGCAGATACAGGCTTGGGGCACTGAAAGGCCTGAAGGTGGGTGGGCCCTGGCACATGCATTTAACCCATGAAGGCAGGGGGAGCCCCATGTTTGTCGGGGGGGGTGGTGGGAAAGGGGGTCCTCGGTCTAGGTTCTCTAAGTCTTATGAACGTTAGAGTTACCAGGAGGGGACTTGGTAGTAGGCAGATCCTCAGGCCACTTTCCAGCATTTCTGACTGTAGATCTGGGGGAGTCAGAATCTGCCTTTTTTAACAAGTTACCTATGTGACTAATGCATTTTGAGAAGTGCTGGCCAGGGAAAGTGCAAGAGCTTGCAGGGGACCAGGGGAGATGGAGATCTGGGGGCTGGTAGAGCCGGTGCTCCCCTCTGACCCACTCCTGGCCCCGTAGCCTGCAGCGTGCTCTACCTGACCTCAGTGGAGACGGAGTCACTGACCGGCCCCCAAGCAGTGGCCCGGGCCAGCTCTGCAGCTCTGAGCTGCAGCCCCCGCCCAACACCAGCCGTTGTCCACTTCAAGGTCTCCGCCCAGGGCATTACGCTGACAGACAACCAAAGGAAGTGAGTATGTACGTACGCTTAGGCCCTGGGGGCCCCCAGTTTCTGGGTGTGACTTTCCCCACCCTCCTTCTTGCAGGCTCTTCTTTCGCCGCCATTATCCAGTGAACAGCATCACCTTCTCCAGCACTGACCCTCAGGACCGGAGGTGACCATCCCTCCCAACCCTCTCCTGCCACAGCCCCATGGTCCTGTCAGTCCCACAGACCAGAGAGCCCCCAGCCCCAGCTCCTCCCTCAGTAGCCCCAGCTCCTCCTGCCGTAGCTAGTCCCTGGGGTGCATTCTTTCATAGTTCTTTTCCTTCTGCAGATGGACCAACCCTGACGGGACCACCTCCAGGTAAGCTCCCCCATGAGTGCAGTCTCTCCCCTCCAAGGGATGGAGCACCTCCTTCCTCCCCAGCCCTGGCTTTGCAGTCCCTTGTGGAAGGGATGCTGAGCCCCTGCCCACCCTGGCTTTGTACCCCTAGGATCTTTGGTTTCGTGGCCAAGAAACCAGGAAGCCCCTGGGAGAATGTGTGTCACCTCTTTGCAGAGCTTGACCCAGATCAGCCTGCAGGCGCCATTGTCACCTTTATCACCAAAGTTCTACTGGGCCAGAGAAAATGAAGGCAGGCCACCAGCTCAGAGCTCACATCAGCACTGCGCCCTCCCAGCACCACACAGCCCTCACTTCCCCTGGCCTGGCCCCACGAGACACAGGAGCCAGCCCCCTCCCTTAGGAACGGGGAGTGGGCATCAGCCTGGGACACTGCTCTCCTTCCCTGCTCCCAGCCTGCTAAGCTAAGTGGACGGGCCCAGGAGGTGACCTTGCACGTGAGCAGATGGCAGAGACGGGCATGTGAAGGGTGAGGCAGCAGCAGTTGAGCCCTGGAGGGAGGGGACCCGGACAGCCCCACCTGTGGGAGAACCGGGACAGCCCCACCTGCAGGAGAACATCAGCCCTGGAGGGGAACAGTCCTGACAGCTCCACCGGCTGCAGGGCCAGCACGGCAGGGGGAGGGGAGAGGTGTGGGGAGCCAGGCACCCCCTCCTCTGCCTCCCCTTCTGAGCAGAGATCAGAGTGGGATCACATGAAAAGGGGGGGAAAGAGTCTATTTTTGTCTAATAATAAAGAATTTCTATAATGTTGAGTCGGCATTGAGTCATGCCTTGTTCACAGGAAGGTCAAAGCCTCGTCTCCCCAGGGCACACCTGTGCCTCTTGGGGGCGTCCCAGGCCCACGACCTGGTCCATACACTGTCCCCAGTCTTGGCCTCATGCTAGTCCACATGTCCCCGGTGGGCAAGCTGCCCTCGGCTGCCCCCACCTCCAGCCCTGTCCCTAGCCCAGTGTACTGGAAAGGATTCCCCTGTCCCGACTGTACTAATAAATACGGAAACTCCATCTTTATTGGCTGTATAAACATCTCTGGTCTGTACATACATTTCTTACATCATAGTGCAGGGCCTGAAGGGAGGGCCATAGGGGAGGCCCCAGCAGCACAACAGCTCACCCCCTTTCCCCAAAGCCCTACCCAGTCTGTGCAAACCAAAGCCAACAGCTCCTGCTCCCTCCTCCTCTCAGGAGAAGTCACTGTATGGGGAGAGGCCAGGGGTCAAGCGGTGGGAGATAGGAGGGCTCGGGGGGAAGATACAGGTAAGTGCTAGAATCCAACACTGAAGCACAACAGGCAGCAAGCTGGGGGGGTGGGGGGCAGGGGGTGAGGGGCCAAGCCTTCCCCTGGGTACACTCGGCCAGGGCTCGAGGTCTTGCTGTCCCCACGGCCGGAGAGACATGCTCCACAGTCTCAGCCTGCATCCCAGGGACCAAGGGACGGGTGCCACGGGTGAGCAGAGGTGGGGCTGGAGAGGAGCCAGGGCCCCAGGCCCCCACCTCGCAGCCCCTCTCACTCCACTAGACCTGTCACGGGCGCCCATCTCTGTGCGCAGCTGCGGGAGCTGGAGACTTCGACTCTGTGGGACTGGGGGGCCTGAGCAGGCAGTGAGGGGGAAAGCTGGCTCTCGGGAAAGAACGGAGACCCTGGAGGAGTCTTCTTGGGACGGTAGTCAGTGAAACGAAACAGAGGGCCCAAGAGAACCCCCCTAGCCCAGCCAGGGGAGATAACAGCAGCAACTGGTTCACACGATGAGGACAGGGAACAAAAAAGAGCAGAATGCAAGGAGAAATACTGTGGTAAATGGTAGAGGGGCGTCTCTACTCCCCCCTCTGCAGAGCCTCGTGCCCAAATAGCAGCTGAGACGGTGCTCACTCCACTCCACTCACGCGGGCCCCTGGGGAAAGGGGATGTGGGAGCCCACTGGCCAAAGCAAGGGGGACCCATTGGTACAGCAACACCCTTCTTTGGGCCTGTTCCTGTCCAGCCATGGACTGGGTCCCAGGGCCTGATGACAGGGGCGGCACCAGGTCAGAAATGTGGGCACCGAGGAGCTTGGCAGGGGCCTGGTGTGGCAGGGGCAGAGTGACTATGCACCTCATGGGACCCGCTGGGTAAGCAAATCCTCGGGAAACTCAGGCACTGGGTACCTGGTCCTGCAAAGGGTGAGGAGAGGGAGAAGGGGCAGGTCTAGGGCAGAAGCCTCTAGCCACTCAAGGGATGCAGATCCACTTTGACTTTCTCCCCACAGCTCAGCATTCCAATGGTGGGGAAGAAGCCCCCAGAGGGTACAACAGCATCCTTCTTCCCGATGATCTTGCCATTCCGAGTGAAGAAAACCTGGGGGTGGAAGTGGGGAAAAGACTGGGACAGGCAGCTCTGGCCTCTCCTCTGAGGATGCTGGAGCTACACAGGTCTGTACCCCACTTACCCTCAACTCCCAGCATCCCTCCAGAGAAGAGACTTAGGGTGATGCGGAAAGAGACCACAAGAGGGCGTCCGAGGCTGGAAACCAGCCTCCCTACCAGTCTCCCCAGCTCAGTGCACTGGTTGCCTCACAACGGGAGGGCACCCATGGCAGTGCAGGCCTTCCCCGTGCCCTCCCCTGGCTCCACTTTCCACTCCCCACTAGGGCCAGCCTTGCCCAGGCCCAGGAACCCTAGGCCAACCCCAAACTCCCCCAACTCACCACCACCTTCTTGCCCTCGTGCTCTGGCTCTATCTCTTCTCCATCTTCCTCCTCCTCCTCTTCCTCCTCTTCCTCTTCCCCCTCCTGGTGCAGGTACATGACATTCCGGACATTCCGGATGGCCCGAGCAGTTGGGGACAGGATCACTGTGTCACAACTGTCATCACTGTCACCTAGGAGGCCAAGAAACCTGAGCTCTTGTGGTACTGCCCCACCCTCTGCCGGACCAGCCTGACGAGCCACTGCCACCCCACTTACCCTCACTGTCCAGAATGTAGTCCCGGGGGAACATGATTCCACAGCCCATAATGTCCCCTTTGTAACAGCGTGGCCCAAAGGGGTCCCCCACGCCACTGCCATGGAAGATCTTCCCGTCATCTGTTGGAGGGAGGAGAGAGGACACGCACTTGAAGGAGGGGCTGACACTACACCCCCAGAGGGCCCCTGCTTGGAGCTGAGCTTCCCTACCTCCGTCTCTGGCCCTGCGGGAGGGAGGGGACAAGGTGAAACAAAGATGGAGAGACAGAAGACAGAAGGGAAGAAGGCACCAGATAAAAAAAGAGCCACAAAGTCTGGCCACTCAAGGGGCTCCGCGGGAGCTCCCCCAGGGAGCTGGTCAGCGAGAGGAGAGGGGCTGAGGTGGGGAGGGGTGGGAGGGACCAGGAACTCCTGGCTCCTCCTTTTCTAAAGAAAGCCCTAAAGGAAATCAAGCTGACCAAAAAAAGAAAATACAGAATCTGCAGGAAGGGCGCAGAGGGAGCCAGCTCAGAGGCCTGGAATGTCCAGTTCGGCCCAGATCCCCCGCCCCTGTTCTGCTCCCCCGGCTTTTAAGGCTGGGAGGAAAAACACAGATGAGGAGAAAGCGCTAGCGGCTTGGGAAGGGGAGATGAGACGGCAGCAGGGCAAGTCTCTCCAGCCAGATGCTGGAGGAGAGGCCATCTGTGAGGGGTCAGGAAATGATGTCCCTGTGTCTCCACATGCCCCACAATCCTGGCTTCCCCAGGGCAGCCCCCTACTCACCTGCATGATAAGCCACAGACCCCCTGCTCCAGCCAGGGTGCCTGTTCTTGGGATAGTCCTGCACAAAGTAGAAAGAGAAAATCTATGGTACCACGCATGGAAAAGAGGACGGGAGAGAGTGGCATCTGAACCTTCAATCTTCAGGAATAGGCTACAACCCAGACCGCTGCTCACCACCCCCACAGCCTCTCACACCCTTCAGGAACTTGAGGTTGCAGGGGAGGCAGGGACGGTGAGAAGGGGACTTGGCTTTCACGGCCAGGGCTGCAGGCTGCCCCCACCCCACATCCAGGCCTCGGTGTGTGTGGTGTAGCCGTGACACTCTTTCAGGTCCTAGGTCACATGGGGTCTGAACCCTTACAGAGCAGACACATACAACCGTGTTATCTCAGGTTAAGACCACCCTCTGCAGCCTGGACCCCTGATCTCCCCAAGAGCTCCCGGCCCCATCCCAACAGCCCCAGAGCTGAGCAGGTAAAAAGCCAGCGCTCATGCCCACCTTCCGGGCCAGCCCCAAGGCGATGTAGCATTTCTCTCCAGGGTCCACAATCTCCACCTCGAAGTAGTGGCTACGGGTGCTCAGCGGGTGCCGGGCCTGGGCCAGCCCCACGTCCACGATGCTCTTGCCCTTGCCCAAGTACTCCAGCAGCTGGGGGAGAAGAGTCAGGAGTGCGGGCAGGCTGACACCCGCCTTGGAAACCTGGTCCAAAGGAGTCGGGGACCAGTTTCCCGGGTCAGACAAAAACCGCTGGCTGAAAGGGGAAGGACCCCAGAGGCACAGCATGAGCCTCAACGTTCTAGGCAAGCATGGGAGGACAGAGATGGGGTGGGGTGCTGTGCCCACCTGCCTACTGAGCCAAAGACCCTCGCCTTGCTTTCGGGGAGACGGGGAGAGCAGCACAGCAATCCAGATAGCTGAGCGCCCGGAACCACACCAGGGGTCTCCAAGCTACGTCACCACTTCTCTGAGTCACCCTGTGGGGAAAAGTCCACCCCAGGGGCCCTGAACACAGAGAAAAGGAGAAGTGAAGACTAGGCTGAGAGGAAACCTGAGGACTTTCTCAGGGGCCTTCGGGGACTGGGGATGGGGAGGCTGTAGAGAGTAGGTGCCAATTCCAGAGGCTGCAGGGAGGGGAGATGAGCTCAGAGGCCCGTTCTGCCTGGGATGGGCCTGATATAATTTCTCAAGGTTTTTGTTTCACTTGGCTTTGAACAGAGCTCTTCATAGCTGGGTCAGGGAGGTGCCGAGGGGAGCCAGGGAACCCAGAACAACCAGCTCCACTCCTTCATTGAATATGAGGGAGAGGAGCAAGCAGAACAAAGCTAGGAAGGCAGGCTTTCCTGTTCCCAGCCCCTCGTGGCTCTCTCAAGCTGGAGCAGGGGTGTGGAGGGGGGAGGAGGGGAGGATGACTGATGGGCTCTTGGGGATCTTCAGTCCCACAATGGTCCTGCCTGGGCATGATGGGGCGGCAACCCCCAATCTGGGAGGATTTATTTATCAGTTGTCATGGCAATAGTGGGGCTATGACTCAACCCCATCCCCTCTTTCTCCCTCAGCATCACCTGAGATTCCTTAATCCCTTTTTAATTAGCCAAACTGTCCCTCAAGACTTTCTCCTACTCTCCCACCCCTCCAGCCCTGAAGAAAACACGCGCCCTGGGGACCTCCTCCACTTATTCCTGGCAAGCCCTGGGACGCTGGCCTCTCACCCCCCCCAAGAACTCCTGCCTGAACAGGAAAGGAATTAGGCTCACCTGCACCATTGTGGAAGCCTCTGTGTGTCTTCAGCAGAGGCAGGTCCTGCATCCTCACCACCCTCTTCAGAGAGCAAATGGAGGGACCTGGTCCCCTTCTCAGCCCTGGATCCCCAAAGCCCTGCCACCTCAAGTCCAGCCTCTCCTTCTCTCCAAAGAGAACTGGAGTCGGCGGGGGATGGAGGACACACAGGGAAAAGGCAGAGATGTATGGGAAACCACTGAAATCCACACCCAGGCTTTCTTCTCTAATTCCTACAGCCAGGACCTGACAGCTTTCGGGTTACACTGGCTCTTTATTTACTGACACTCCTAGCCCGAGTCTTCTCTATTACAGCACCTTCTTTCTCACCAGAAAGGGGTCCCCTGCAGGTCTGATTTACTGGGTGCTAATTCAGGCCCACACTGTTTGAACTCTGTCTTTGGTCCTCCGTGAGTTCTCTGCTCAGCCTGGGCTCCTCCTCAGCATCTCTCCCCATGAGCCGGGAGGGTGGGGCTTGATGCACATTAACTAGCTCACACTCCACCCAGTCTGAGCAGCCCCCAGCCCACCCTCTCCACCCAGCATTGCCGAACTGGGTGGGGGACCCCACAGCTGCCCTTGACCCACTCCATCCAACTGGCCTCGGCGTAGGAAACACAGTGTTCTCCACTTCCAGAGCCAAGAGACAGCGGATCCAGATCCTGATCCTTGGGAAAAACCCGCCCAACCATTCCCTGAGCCTCGGCCCGCGGAGGGCAGCCGCCGCCGGAGTTTTGTCTGTGGGTAGGGTGGGGATGCTTCCTTACGCTAAAAGGCCAGGAAGAACACACTACCCGGGACTCAAAACACCCCCCTAACCCGCAGACCAGCCTGCTGACACCCTGAAAGACCAGGTCCTACATAATTTGCCCTCTTCAAGAGAGGAGCCACCAGCCCTCAGGTTGTAAGCCGCCCCGATTCGTCTGATCCTCTCTGATCCATGCTCCTACTCCTGGGCAGAGTCCTCCCAAGCCCTCCAGAGCCTTCTGAGAGCACTGAGAGGGGCGGGCTGGGGGAAGTCTGCCTCCCTGACAGATCCTCGCTGAGCACACTCCTCCCTCCTTAGATCAGGGCTGTCAGGAGCCTCGAGGAGATGGGAGGTTTAGGCCCTAGAGCCTGAGTTGCTAGAATCTTGATGCTGATCCCTCAATCTGTGCCTCACATGCCTCTTAGTTTGAAAGAAAATCAAACGGACCTGGGTTCAAGTCCTAACTCCTATTACTGACTTGCCTCTAACTTTGAGCAAGTGACCTTCACTTCTTTAAGCCTCAGTTTCTCCATCATTAAATAAGGCTACTATTACCTGCATCTCCAAACATGGGCGAGAAGACTACGGGAGCTTGACACCCCGTGGGTGATCAGTACACACTTCTGCCTTTCCCTAAACCAGGAAACGGGGTTAAACTGGGACAGGCCAACATACTAGTGCTCCCTAAACATTAACAGTCACCCCAAAGCTACAACAGACTGGAACTGCCAATCACAAAAAAGGCAATGATCTTTCCTCTCAGACCTTACCTCCAGCTAGAATGGCCCCTTAGGCTCCCAGAACTGTCATCGCCTCCCTAGGACAGATGACCACTCCCCAGATTAGTCTACCCCAACTGACCAACGCTCCTCCTCCCAGTGTTTCTTCTCAAACATGCCCGGTCAATAGGAATGTTCCTCTCCATCTCTGGAAAGGGTAGGGGGAACTCTTTCCTTGGGGCTCTCAAATGGCCCTGCTTCCGCACCTCGCCCCCAACACAACCCAAGCGTTGAGAGGCCAAACAGGTGGACTGGACACCAGAGAGGGGAGGCTGCAGTACAGAGTGCCTCCTGCACCCCACCCCCGCCCTCTTCGGGGTAGGGCCTTCTCAGCCTCCTCTCCTGCTGGTATCCGCCCTCCTCCTCTTACCAGCAGAGACCCTAATCCTTCTTGACAGGAGCAAGGGAGGGCTCAGTGCCCTAAGGGCCTAGAAGTAGCTGAAACAAGAACCAAGAACATGCTCCCCACCGGCCAGCTCAGGCCCCAACACAGTCTCCCTCTGGGTTGGGTCTGGGGAGGACCCCTGGGAGGGTAGGGCCTCATTCACCCCCCTTTGTGTACCACAGCTGTTGCCCAGTCACTAAGGAGTTGTCAGAGGAGCTATGAACAGGAAACAAAGACAGAATGAGTCTAATCCCCCAGCTTTACCTCCTGCCCCCCACCTCCTACACATTACCTCACTTTGCAAGGCCTGGGGGCAGGGATAAGGCCAGGGGCAACACCACCATCCCTGAGCAAACAACTCTTCAACACCCTCAGAGCTCTGGGGAGGGGAGATTCTTTATGAGGGGAAACTGAGGCCACAGGAAGCAGGGGAAGAATTCCACTCAAGAAAGAGCCAGATCTGACTATATATAGATACTCAGATCAAACAAACATAACTAAATATTAACAACTGTTGAATCTAGGTAGTGGGCATATATAGGTGTTCACTGTACTATTTTTTCAACTTTCTGTATGTCTGAAATTTTTCATAATGAAATGTTGAAGGGAAAAAAAAAAGAGTCAGCAATTGAATTCACTCTTCTTTATGGGAAGAACCAGTGAGAAGGGAGAGGAGAGGATAATTGAAACTCCAAAACTGAGAGAAAGGGCTAAGAGTACAAGAATTCCAAGGCAGCCAAGTAAACTCACCTAGAAGGGCCTTTGCTAAAGAAACCAGACAGGAGAATCCCAGGGGAAGCGGGGATTTAAGCCGAGGAACTCCAGAATCATCTTATGAGGGGGGCAGGAGGAGAGAAGATGAGTGGTTACAGGAGAGCAGGCTGCGGAGAAGGTCCAGCACTTATCAGACAGCAGGAAGGCAGTGCGGGGGATCAGTGGATGACCATCTGGGCTTAGTCTGCTACTCACTCGCTGTCTGACATTTGAACAAGTCTCTTTACTTTTCTCTGGGACTGGTTCTCATCAATAGCACAAGAGGATATTTGAGAATGTGTGCGCCGTCACAATGATTAGGAGAGGGGGCTCCTAGCATCCTATGTCTGGGAACCAGGGAAGCTAACGGGCCTGCACGTTAAGGAACTGTCTCACCTAAAATGCCAACAGTCTCTGCCCTGAGAACTCCTGGCCTGGATGGCATCAGAGCCTCTCCCAAACCTTTGTGGTTCCACAGGGCGCTCTACTGGGTACATCATCCAGGGCAGGAGAAACAGGCTTCACCAGCAGCTTGGCTGGTCTGCGGCCCAGGGCACAGTTCCCCACAGAGGGGGACGTAAAAACCAGGAAGGGCAAGGAGGAGAAACAGCTGTGCTATACAGCTTTAGAAAGAGGAGGCACAGGTACGGCCCAAATGACCTCTCCCAGGCTCCTCCCAAATGACTCTGATCGCTGGACCAGAAATACAGTCAGAAGAGACAAGAGGGAGGAGGCCAAGAGACAAGCGAGGATGAGGGGCCAAGGGGATGGAAGAGACTGGGTAAGTCACCCTCATTTGAAAAATGAGGTGGTTGAGAAGACAAGAAGAGGCATATGTCCCTCAAGAGGCTCGTGCCCAAGTCTGCCCAGAGAAGCAACTGCTCAAGGAGTAGCATGCCCACCCTGCCCGCTGTCCCAAGCTGGGGCGAGGGTCTGAGACAAGAGCCAAACTCAACAGCTTATGTCTAACAAAGAAAAAAATTCTTAAACGTGTGGCCTGAGGGCACTGGGGGGAGGGCAGAGAGGAAGGAAGGCTATTTATAAATGTCTACAGGATTCTGCATCAATTAGAAAAGATTGCCTGGGAGGAGCTGGGAGCAGAGTGGGGACAGGTCCAGGCAGGGAAAGGATGCCAGGAAAAAACTCTCAAGAAGAGGTCAGGGATGAGAGCTGGAGCACTGCCCTGGCTCAGCCCCAAGTTCAACTCTGTAAATGTTGTCCAAATGATGGTGGAAGGGGAAAGGAAAGGAAAGAGATGAGGGTCAAGGAGTAGGCATCTGAGGCCTCCTGGCTCGTGGCCACCGCAGTCTTTGGCCCCCAGGGCCAGAAGCGGGTGCAGAGCGTCAGAAGCAGCAGGAGGGCACACTTTCTGCCCTTTTCCTTGAGTTTGACGCACCTTGAACTCCAGAACGGGGGGAGCCTTGCTCATAATCCACTCCCACCCCCCCACTGCTTCTGTTTTGCTATCAAAGGCTAAGTTGAAAACAGCCTGGGTCGGGGTGAGAAGGCCAGCGGGTGGAGAAAAAGGTTGAGCCAGGAGCAAGAGGGCAGAAGAGGGACAATTCGAAGTGGGAGGCCGGAGCAGCCCACTAGAGGCCAGGGCCAGACCCCTGACTCAGCATCCATTCACTCCCAGCCCAGCAGGAGGCACAGGGGGGAACATGAAGGACCTCGCTCTCTCAAGGTCCGCACACTTCCCAAGAAAGTTTAAAATCCAGGGAGGCTGGCCACGTGGCGTAGTGGTTAAGCGTGCGCGCTCTGCTGCTGGCAGCCCCAGTTTGGATCCCGGGCATGCACCGACGCACCACTTCTCAGGCCATGCTGTGGTGGCGTCCCATATAAAGTGGAGGAAGATGGGCACAGATGTTAGCCCAGGGCCAATCTTCCTCAGCAAAAA